TTTCATTTCTTAATTTTGGTGGAGATTTGAGACCTGCAGACTGCATGGCGAAAAAACCAAAGATCCAACTTTAAACGCCTGTAACGCCGCCATTTTTCACTATTTTTATTTAAAAAATTTTTTACATAGCTTATATTGAACACTTTAAAGTATGCTTTATTTCAATTCAATAAACTTTACTACTCTTTTGTAAAAAAGATCTTCAAAATGTGCATTTATAAGGGTTTCCCTCTCAAGGGTTAATAAAGTAAATAGGGAGAAAGAAGATTTTTCCTTGGAGATTGATCTTGGCTTTACTGCACTTGACCAGTGACAATTAGTCACATCTGTATTCTGATAAAATCAAAAAAAACATTGATAGTACTCAAAGTATGCACTTAATGGTTGACTTATATAAATTGTTTATCTTCGGCTACTACTTTTAGTAACAAAAATTATGATAATCTTCTGACCATATTCAATTTACCCTGTTTAATTCCCTAATCAATCGCTAGTTAGTAAAATTCTAAAAAAAGCAAAAGAAACATTAATGGTACCCAAAGTATGCATTTACTTGTTGAATAAGCAAATTGTTTATAGACTGCTGCAACTTCCAGTAACAAAAATTCTAATAATCTTCTGACCATATTTATTTCACCAGGTTTAATTCATTAATCATTAGACAGTTACTAAAATACTAAAAGAAGCAAAAGAAAAATTGATGGTACCAAAAGTATGCATTTACTTATTGAATAATGCAAATTGTTTGTAGACTGCTACCATTTTCCATAAAGCAAATTTTCTGAACAACTTATATTCTTACTCATTACATCCTGTTAATTACATTAACAACCGATGGTAACAAAAATTCTGATAGAATAAAAATAAAAATATATGGTACTTAAAGTATGCATTTAATGGTTGACTTATATAAATTGTTTATGTTCGGCTACTACTTTCAGTAACAAAAGTTCTAATAATCTTCTGACCACATTCATTTTACCTGTTTAATTCCCTAATTAAGCGCGAGTTACTAAAATTCAGATAGAAGCAAAAGTGACATTGATGGTACTCAAAGTATGCATTTAATGGTTGACTTATGTAAATTGTTTATATTCGTCTACTACTTTCAGTTACAAAAATTCTAATAATCTTCTGACTATAATCATTTTACCCTGACTAATGCCCTAATCAATCAAACGTTACTAAAATTCAGTTAAAATCAAAAGAAACATTGATGGTACTTAAAGTATGCATTTAAGGGTTGGACTTATATAAATTGTTAGATTCGGCCACTACTTTTAGTAACAAAAGTTCTAATAATCATCTGACCATATTCATTTTACCTGTTAAGTTCCGTAATTAATAGTTGTTAATTACATTAACAATCGCTAGATACTAAAATTCAGATAAAAGCAACAGAAACATTGATGGTACTCAAAGTTTGCATTTCATGGTTGACTTATATGAATTGTTAGATTCGGCTACTACTTTCAGTAACAAAAGTTCTAATAATCTTCAGACCATATTCATTTTACTTTGTATATTTCATTAATCAATTGATAGTTCGTAAAACTCTGATAGAAGCAAATGAGACATTGGTGGTACCCAAAGTATGTATTTATTTGTTGAATAAGCAAATTGTTTATAGACTGATACTATTTTCCATAAAGCAAATTTTCTGAATAACTTCTATTCTAACTCATTACATCGTGTTAATTACAGCAACAATCGCTAGATACTAAAATTCAGATAAAAGCAAAAGAAACATTAATGGTACTGAAAGTAATCATTTAATGGTTGACTTACGTAAATTGTTTATATTCGTCTACTACTTTTAGCTACAAAAATTCTAAGAATTTTCTGACTATAATCATTTTACCCTGTTTAATGCCCTAATCAATCGCAAGTTACTAAAATTCTTATAGAAGCAAAAGAAACACTGTTGGTACCCAAAGTTTGAATTTACTTGTTGAATAAGCAAATTGTTTATAGACTGCTACAATTTTGAGTAACAAAAATTCTAATAATCTTCTAACCACATTCATTTTACCCTGTATAATTCCCTAATCAATTGCTAGTTACTAAAATTCTGATAGAAGCAAAAGAAACATTGATGGTACTTAAAGTATGCATTTAATGGTTAACTTGTATAAATTGTTTATATTCGGCTACTACTTTCAGTAACAAAAGTTCTAATAATCTTCTGACCATATTCATTTTACCTGTTAAATTCCCTAATTAATCGCTAGTTACTGTAATTCTGATAGAAGCAAAAGAGACATTGATGGTACTTAAAGTATGCATATAATGGCTGACTTATATAAATTGTTTTATTCGGCTACTACTTTCAGTAACATAAATTCTAATAATCTTCTGACCATATTCATTTTACCTATTTAATTCCCTAATCAATCGAAGGTTACTAAAATTCTGATAGAAGAAAAAGAAACATTTATGGTACCCAAAGTATGTATTTATTTGTTGAATAAGCAAATTGTTTATAGACTGCTACCACTTTCCATGAAACAAATTTTCTTAATACGTTATATTCCTTTTCGTTTTTACATACTGTTAATTAATTTAATAATCGCCAGTTACTAAAATTCTGATAGAAGCAAAAGAAACTTTGATGGTTCTCAAAGTATGCATTTAATGGTTGACTTATATAAATTATTAGATTCGGATACTACTGTTAGAAAGTTATATAATTTAAAAATTTCAGGAAGTATTCAGTGACTTCTGTAGTTATTTGTAAGAGTAAAGAATTATAGCATGGAGAAGTGAGAGAGGTCTTTGAGTAGAGATAACGACGACTCGGAACTGTCCGGAACGGCTTCCCTTTTTTCGATCCTTAACCCTTTGCGTCACAGTGGGTCGCTCAGCGACCCACCTTTGGTTTTTCACTATATTACAATTATATTTCATATGAATTCGCTTGAAAATCGTTACTCGGGGGTTTTCGGGGTCGCTGATTACGAATCTGACTTTAGTTTTTAAAAATTCAAAATGGCCGATCCAATATGGCGGACATAAAAGTTAAAAATTAACTGAATTCTCTTGAAAATTGATACTCGGGGGTTTTCGGGGTCGCTCATTACGAATCTGATGTCAGTTTTTAAAAATTCAAAATGGCGGATCCAATATGGCGGACATAAAGTTGAAAATTGACTGAATTCGCTTGAAAATCGTTACTCGGGGGTTTTCAAGGTCGCTAAATACGAATCCGATGTCAGTTTTTTAAATTTCAAAATGGCAGATCCAATATGGCGGACGAAAAAATAAAAAGTCAACGCATTCGCTTAAAACTCGTTACTCGGGGGTTTTCGGGGTCGCTGATTACGAATCTGATGTCAGTTTTTAAAAAATCAAAATGGCGGATCCAATATGGCGGACATGTAGTTAAAAATTTACTGAATTCGCTTGAAAATCGGTACCAGGGGTTTTTCAGGGTCGCTGAATACGAATCTGATGTCAGTTTTAAAAAATACAAAATGGCGGATTCAATATGGTGGACATGAAGTTGAAAATTGACTGAATTCGCTTGAAAATCGTTACTTGGGGGTTTTCAGGGTCGCTGAATAAAAAAATAAAAATAGAATTTTAGAATTTTAAATGTTTAAATAGAAATAATAGATGCTTATCTTTAAATCATGTACCTGACAACCCTTGGATTAGTAACCTGTAAAAATAAACGTTTTTTACACTCAGCAGTATTGTTATTTACAAAATTGTTAGCATTTATGTTTTTGTAACTGAATCCAATGTATACCTTTTTTTACTATCATAAAGATTGTTGACGATCGTCATTTGTTTCACTGACTTTTTTTTGCGACGATCGTAATTTGTTTTATTTATAAAAATAAAAAAAAAATAAATAAATAAAAAAAACAAGGTGGAACCAAAATCTTGCCAAGTCCACGTCGTTGGTTCTGGGTAACGCTGAGAGCAGGATAGATAAAAAAAATGAAATTATTATTTTCGAAAACTGACATGAGATTCGTATTCAGCGTCCCCGAAAACCCCCGAGTAACAATTTTCAAGCGAATCTAATCAATTTTCAACTCCAAGTCCGCCATATTGGAACCGCCATTTTAAATTTTGAAAAACTGACATCAGATTCGTATTCAGCAACCCTGAAAACACCCGAGTGTCAATTTTCAAGCGAATTCAGTTAATTTTAAACTCCAAGTCCGCCATATTGGATCCGCCATTTTGAATTTTTGAAAACTGACATCAGATTCGTATTCAGCGACCCCAAAAACCCCCGAGTAACGATTTTCAAAAAAATTCAGTCAATTTTTAGTTTTCATGTCCGCCATATTGGATCCGCCATTTTGAATTATTGAAAACTGACATCAGATTCGTATTCAGCGACCCCGAAAACCCCCGAGTAACAATTTTCAAGCGAATTCAGTTAATTTTAAACTCCAAGTCCGCCATATTGGATCCGCCATTTTGAATTTTTAAAAACTGACTTCAGATTCGTAATCAACGACCCCGAAAACCCCCGAGTATCGATTTTCAAGGGAATTCAGTTAATTTTTAATTTTTATGTCCGCCATATTGGATCCGCCATTTTGAATTTTTGAAAACTGACATCAGATTCGTATTTAGCGACCCCGAAAACCCCGGAGTAACATTTTTCAAGCGAATTCAGTTAATTTTTAACTCCAAGTCCGCCATATTGTATCCGCCATTTAAAATTTTTAAAAACTAATGTCAGATTCGTAATCAGCGACCCCGAAAACCCCCAAGTAACAATTTTCAAGCCAATTTAGTAAAAAGAAAAATGTGTGACTTAAAGGGTTAATGGAAGTCGTGACAGACTGTTTTATATGTTTAATATTGGACAAGTATTTTAAATAATTTAATAAATTTGGTTTTTCTCTTTTTGTTGCGTTTTATTAATTAGTGCTTAGAATCCTGAACAATTGGCGACCGTGACCGGACATTCTTAAATTCGGGATTATTGATAAAGTGTACACACAAGTGAACTGTGAGTGAGTGAAAACTAAAAAATGGAAGCAGCAATGCGACAAAGGAAGAGTCTGGGTATGGCCTTTACGAAAACATACAATTCGTTTTCGGCCAAACTCAAAGGCACGTGCTCTCGAGATGACAATATGGTGGCATTTCAGTTGTTACAAACCAAGACGAAGGAGTTGGAAGCGGTGTACGCTATTTGCAACAAATTTCTCTTCGAATCAGAGGCCACTGAAGATGAAATCGCCAAAGAATTAGAAGATGTAGACGAATACACTGTGGCATTTCTGAATGCAAAAATGATGGCTGATGATTTACAGGAAGTACGAACTGAAAACATCCAATCCGTGTTATCAGACAACTTGCCCGGAGCAACTAAGGGGTCATTGAAGTTACCACAAATTGAGTTACCAAAATTTAAGTGTCATGTTAAAGAGTGGCTGTTGTTCTGGAGTATTTTCAAAAAGATCCACGAAGACAACTCAATTAGGCGTGAGGATAAATTTCAATATCTCATTCAAGCTACATCACCGGATTCGAGGGCACGTGAACTGGTTCGCAGTTTCCCCCCAACAGCTGACAACTATGATAAGGCGATAGCAAGTCTCAAGAGTCGATTCGGCCAAGACGATATTGTAGTTAAATATTATGTTCGTGAACTGTTGGGATTGGTTCTCCAAAATGAACTTAAAGGAGGTCCAAAGGCAACACTTTCTGCAAACTATGATAAATTGGAAGCATACATCCGTGCTCTAGACACTCTAAGAGTAACGACGGAGAAATGTGCGTCAATGTTATATCCGCTGGTTGAGTCTGCTCTCCCGGAAGAAATTCTACGTGCTTGGCAGCGCAATGGGCAGTATCGCACCATAGAAAATGAGGGGCATAATATGACAAGGGACAAGCTGACCAAATTATTAGAAATGTAAACAGGTATCGTGTATTTTTTGTAAGTCTGCTCATGAGAGTAAAGAATGTGAGGTTTCACGAAAAATGGATTTGAGTGAAAGAAAAGAATATGTTAAGAAAGAAGGTGCTTGTTTTGTTTGTCTGAGGCGAGGTCATTCCGCGAAATGGTGTCGGGTAAAAGTAAAATGTAATTGGTGTTCTAGACGTCACGAATTACTATTATGTCCAGGTTTATCATCTAAAGACAATTTAGTTTCAAAAGATGACAGTAAGCGAGAAGTTGAAAATGTTTTGGCCACAATTTGTGCTGCGCCTGAAGTGTATCTGCAAACTCTCCGTGTATTAGTGTATTCTGACTCGGGTGAAATGATAGTTAAAGAAATTATTGATACAGCCTCGCAACGTTCATACATTCGAGCAGATATAGTGAAAAAGTTGGGATACACACCTCACGCAGAGATTAAAGTGTCACATTCATTGTTTGGAGGGGTTACCTCAAAAGCAAAAAAGCATGATATATTTAAAATAAAAGTAAAAAATTTAGATAAAAAGTATGCATGTAATTTTTCTGTACTGAGTCAGGAAACAATTTGTGAGACAATACCATCCATAAAAAAAGAATCCTGGCTTAATGACTTACGTAAAGAAAACATTCATTTAACTGACGCGGGGTACCAAAGGTGTTCTATCGATGTACTCATTGGGGCTGATATTGCCGGAAAATTACACAGTGCAACAGCATTTTTATTTCTGAGACCGCATAGGGTGATTCTTATAGGTTTCTCGACGCTGAACACGAATCCGTAATTAGAATTGCTCCATCACCCTAGGTTTTCGAGAAATTTGACCTTGAAAATTTAAAAATACCGTTTTTAGGGTACTTTTTGATTTTTTATTACGGTACCAAAATTTTTTCTGAAGTTTTCATGATATGTATATGAAAGCTGATATCCTCCTTAACATTTTCCAAATTTGATCTTTAAAAAATATCTTTTTTGGATGAGTTATCCTCATTTGAAATTCGCGTTGCAACGTGAAACGGGATCACAGTGCAGGAGGCGTATAAAATAATCCAAAATCCAAATGTATTTTAAATGGCCTGTAACTTGTTACTCGGGGGTTTTCGGGGTCGCTGATTACGAATTCGATGTCCGTTTTTGAAAATTCAAAATGGCGGATCCAATATGGCGGACGACTTTTTTTGCTCACTAATTTTTGCGAAACTTTGATTTATTTGTTTTTATTTATATTTATATCTAACCCCAAAAACTCCTCAATAATCACTTACAGGCCATTTGGATCGAGTTTTAAAGAAGTCCTCTGCCATATTGGATCCGCCATTTTGAATTTTCAAAAACGGACCTCGAATTTTTAATCAGCTACCCCAAAAACCCCCGAGTAACAAGTTACAGGCCATTTCGATCGAGTTTAGAAAAAGTCGTCCGCCACATTGGATCCGCCATTTTGAATTTTCGAAAACTGACCTCAAATTCGTAATCAGCGACCCTGAAAACCTCCAAGTAACAAGTTTCAGACCATTTAAAATACATTTGAATTTTGGACCATTTTTTAATACGCCTCCTGCACTGTGATCCCGATTCACGTTGCAACGCGAATTTCGAATGAGGATAACTCATCCAAAAAAAAATATTTTTGAAAGATCAAAATTGGAAAATGTTAAGGAGGATATCAGCTTTCATATGCATATCATGAAAACCTCAGAAAAAATTTTGGTACCGTAATAAAAAATCAAAAAGTACCCTAAAAACGGTATTTTTAAATTTTCAAGGTCAAATTTCTCGAAAACCTAGGGTGATGGAGCAATTCTGATTACGGATTCGTGTTCAGCGTCGAAAAACCTATAAGAATCACCCCATGCGGTCTCAGAAATAAAAAAAATGAAAATCTGTTGTCGGAGACAGTTAATATGTTAACGACGCTACTTGGTCAAGAGGCGAATCCATCCGAGTTATGGCGATTAGACATACTCGGTATTACAGATCCTATTGAAAACGAATGTGAAACGAAGCGTAACGAAAACGTACGGAAATTTATAGTGAGCACATCTAAGTTTACTCCTGCACGGTGTGCCTTAACCAGACTCAACCCAAAAGTCTTTGCTCAGTAAAAATTCTTTTTTCTCGTGAAAGTATATGGAAAATAGAAACTTTTCTCACAAAAATCAAAATAATCTGTGGAGCCGTTTTTAAGAACGGTCCCATTGAATATTTTCGCCATTAAAAGTACATTTTTTTTAATGAAAATAGCGAAAAGAAGTTTATTATTGTATTACAGTATCAGACGTGGATCCAGGGGGCACATATACATGCCCCCCCAAAAACATAGTGGGTAGTTTTGGGGTTAAAACCTCCACCCCCGTGAAATTTTGAATTTCTTTAACAAATCTAAGCAAACATAAAATCTTTTCTAAAACTTTTTTTTTCTTACGCCCTTGAAACAAACAAATGAACTTATAATAATTTTTTTTGACAACTTCTCTGTTTGTCAAATTTATTTTCCCAACGAAATAATAATCGTTTTGTATACGAGTGTGAATTAAGAAAATATTATAGGACTAAAATTTTAGTGTTTCCGTTAATGGAAACATCTCTTTTATCTTGCAAAAGCATAATAAATTCACTTTTAAACGACTTTCATCTCACTGTAAAAAGTCATAAGGGAATTTTCCTGAATTTTTTTTCACTATCACTGATAGAGATTTTAATCTACAAAATCGTTGGTAATAGCAGTTCTTATAATGCGGCAAAAATACAGAATCTAAAATGAAAAACATAGAATTTTGTAATTTTCCCATTCTAAATAATTATCAAATCTCCGATGATTTTAACACTTTCAATGTAGGTAATAATAGTACTAACTTTTAATGTAGCAAAAAAACTAATGACTGAGACATTACAGCAGATGGGAAAATTCTTATTGCCGAACGTAAACTTACCGTGTTTAAAATAGCAATTATCTGGAAGGTGGGAATTTTCTTTTTACCAAATCAAGGAATATTGATATTTTTAATATGGTACAATCATTTGTTTAACCCATATCGGACAGCTGTTCCACTAGTCGAACACTACAATTCCAGTCGCACTTACAAATGTAAGTGGCATAATTATTGTAATTGTTTATTAATTTTTGTTCTTTAAAAATTTGAAAGTAAACTACTTGTCGATGTTAAAAATGTAGTTGCATAATAATGTACGATATTCTAATATTTTATTTGCAATGTAAAAACTAGTGTTTGACTAGTCGAACAGTTTGTTCGGTCCTATATGGGTTAAGTAAAAGTGATACATTAAAAGTGGGTTATAATCGCTCCCTCTTTCAAACAGTTAAAATTCTTTAATACTTTATACAGTGCATGCGTAAACCCATGATCTTTAGACATTTTTAATATTTTCTTAATTCACACTCGCATACAATATGAACCCAAGAAGGGTTCTGATACCGGATCAGTATCGGACCGATGTCGGATTTCGACATACCAATGTCGTCTCGATCCTGATATTCGGTACTGTTTCGGTATCGAAAGGTGTTAGAATGTAAGATCGGACCGATACTATTTTCCTACACTGTTACAACATTGGAATTCGAGATTGGCCCGATACTGAAATTTAACCTCGATCCAATATTGGATTCCATCATTAAATTAAAAAAAATAATATAAAAAAAAATTTATTAAATTTATTAAGTTTAAATTAGTGTTACTTTTTAATTTCTGTAGATTCCACATACATGATTTTTTTCCCTGCCTTAAACGCAATTGAACGCACAACTCGCATATTTTAAAAAATCCTAACCGACGCCGAGATTCTAAGACCCTAACTTAACGCTAAACGCATATTACGAACCTAACGCACTAACCGCAGAGCCATCGAGGCCTTGATAGTTATTATTGTAACTATCAATTATATTATAATTGATAATTATTATAAGTTCATTTGTTTGTTTCAGGGGTGTAAGAAAAAAAAAGTTTCAGAAAAGATTTTATGTTTGCTTAGATTTGTCAAAGAAATTCAAAATTTCACGGGGGTGGAGGTTTTAACCCCTAAACTACCCACTATGTTTTTTTGGGGGGGGCATGTATATGTGCCCCCTGGATCCACGTCTGATACTGTAATACAATAATAAACTTCTTTTCGATTTTTGTGAGAAAAGTTTCTATTTTCCATATACTTTCACGAGAAAAAAGACTTTTTACTGAGCAAAGACTTTTGGGTTGAGTCTGGTTAAGGCACACCGTGCCTAAGGGGCGGTACCAAGTTAGATTACCGTGGAAGGAGAATTATATATACCAACGAATTTGTACATCGCACGTCAACGTTTAGTAAAGACTGTAAAGAAATTGAATAATCCAGGTTTACTTCGTGCTTATAGCGAAGTTTTTGAAACGTGGTTAGCAGAAAACATAATTGAGAAAATTTCCGAAAAAGATGTTTCCCATATAGGCCATTACCTTTCACACCTACCTGTCATAAAAATGAACAGTACAACAAAAATTAGACCGGTATTTGACACATCAGCTAAGAAAAAAGGGCATCCATCATTAAATGATTGTTTAGAAAAAGGTCCCTATCTAATGGAACTTGTCCCGTCCGCGTTAAATAGATTTCGAGAGAGAAAAGTGGGCGTTATCTCAGATATAAAAGGCGCGTTTTTGCAAGTTGAAGTTAATGAGTCTGACAGAGATCACTTGTGTTTTCTGTGGGAAGTAGATGGAAAAATCGTTGTGTTCTGTCATTGCCGCGTAGTGTTTGGTCTATCCAGTAGTCCTTTTTTGTTATCAGCGGTTATTGCGTTACTACTGGATCGATCTCTGCAAAAAGTGCAATCTGGCGATGAATTTTAAGGACGCAAAAATCAGTTAAAAAATTGAAAGATTCATTATACGTCGATAACTGCGTAACAAGCGTAGATTCTTTAGAAGAATTGCAAGTTTTTAGGAAAGAAGCCACTGCTGTCATGGCTGCGGGTGGGTTTGAATTGCGTGGATGGGAAAATTCAGGAG